GCTAGCTACCATAGTATCTTGCCAATGTAAGATCTTCCTCCAAAGTCCCAAACAAATGCAAGGTAAAAAAAAAAAAAATCGAACTAAACGATAAATCCCGGCAAAATCAGCACCAAGATCAAAAAGTCCAAACACTGAAATCGAAATCCACCAAGATCGAGAGAGAACCTGAACAGTAAGTGAGCTCAACACTGAAATCGAAACCATCAAGGAGCGAAAACCATCAATCGTGCCTCCTCAGAGCAAGAACATCAAGAAATCTACCCAGAAAGATGAAACCCCTGAACCCTTACAGCAGAGAACAAAAACTAGTGAAGAACTACCCAAAAAACGAAACCCCTGGAAAAAAGATTTTCAGAAAACAGAGGACCTCCCCATAACCAGGAAAGAAAACAAAAAAGACTCAAGAAAAAAAAAAAAAAAAAAAGCATTGCCCCTAAAACCTCCCCATAACCAGAAACCCATCATTCTACTTAATCATCTGAGCAATGCCGGAGACGACCTCGCCCACGTCAAACGCCTGCATTGCCACAGAGGGGCTCTCCAAATCCTGAAAGCTGACGAAAATATCCCCACCCTCCTGGAGAATCTCGAAGCGGCCATCCCTGGGTTTCTTCGGGTTGACCAAGACGTTCACGCCGGGAACAGCTTCCTCCAGGCCGCTCTTCACCTGGGCTGCCGTGTTCTTGTACGCGTCGCACTGCAAGCAGTGCTCGATGATCACGGTCTTTCCTGCGGCGGCGGCGGAGGAGGAGGAGGGGGCGCCGGCGGCGGGTGGAGCAGAGGACGGGCCCGCCTCGTCGGCCTTGGACTTCTTCCTCCGGCGGGGTTCGGGGTCGGAGAAGGCGGCGTTCGCGAGGGCGGAGCCGCGGCTGCGGGTGGACCTGACGGCGGCGCGGGCGGCGCTTCGGGTGACTCTGGCGGCGGTGGGGGTGGAGGGTTCGCTTGCGGGTTTCCTCTTCGGCGCCATGTTGGAAACGAGGGTTCTGGAGCTCAGACGACGGTGGCGAAAACCCTTTTCTCGATGGATTTGTATTTTTTTTAAGACTGTATTTGTAGCTTGAATGAGACGAAAACACAGTGCGAGCCTTTTTATGTCCTTCTTCTTATGGAGGTTAACGATGGCCGAGTGGGGCCCATTTCGTTATCATCGGACGGTCTATGCTCGTCCAGTGGCAGTGGTGGTGTTCCCGCGCTTTTGGACGGATGGGATTTGGGTTCTGTGGGGCAACTTGTTAGAAGATATTGGCCGTACGATTAGAGATGGATGGAATTGCGAGTCGGATCGAATTCTGTAGCCTACGTTTTAGTTTAACATTTTATAAAATTTAAAATCATAGTAATTGTAATTTAGGGAACTACTACAGTCCCGTTGACGGAATTGTTCTGTCAGTATTGATTACCGTAGATTATCCACACATGATAATCTATTTGCTCATCCAATGGTTAGAAACACTGACGGTACCATCCCGTAACGAGACTTTAAAATTTTCCTGTAATTTATTTGGATTTTAGTTACGCTGTTCACCGTAGCTTAGATTAATAAATACATTTTGATATGTCTTACAAACTCGTTATTTAATATTTAAAATCGAGTCATCCCGAATGAAATTTATAGATCCGTCACTGCTAATAGCATCTTTATTGGCTATTAATTGTCACTTAATTATTGAGCAGTTTTATATTATCGAGAGATCATTATTTTTTATATTCACTACATATCACTCTATATCTTGCATTTCCACATTTGAACAACAATATGGAGCTTACATGTAACCAAAATTACCTTTATCAAACATCACTTGTGAATCATCAGAAAAATTCTATTATATAGCCCTCTATACTGACGCATGTCCAACGTGCATTTATTACATGACACGTGTCAATTACACCATTTGTAAATAACTATAAACGACTCCATAAGCAGTTATGGAGTCATCCAATGCAAGTTCTATTATAAAATTTTATATGAAGTTATAATGTCTCAAGTGTATTTGGCCCATTCTTTCAAGTATTCTCTGTTGTAAGTAAACTTTTGAGTAACGTCTAGGTAAATATGAAAAAAAAGCCACTACGAGAAGCAATATATGTCAAGAAGGAAAGCAAGGATTCTTCATGTCCTCTTACTAGTTATTACCATCTGAATAGTACAAGAAAAAATACTAAACATGGTGAGAATCTAGTACAGCCTACGAGCAACACCACCTCAAACAAAGAGCGTAAAAAAAAATTGAAAACGAGTTAAAAAGAAACTACATTCGACAAGACTGCAAAAGGAAAGAAAAAAAGAAAAGGCGAAATAGAGAACGGCATCATCATCAGTTTGCGGTTTTTGTGCCTTCAACTAAATTCAGCACTTTAAGTTTCTCCAATTACTCGAGTCAATTGACTGCTGCTTTCCAAGGAGAAATTGCAGCTCGACTTAATTGGCTTTGATTAAATTCGCATCTGGGAAAGGGAAAGCTCCTGAAAAGAAAATGATGAAATAAAAACTGTTACTAGTTACTCAATGATATCTATCCATGGTGCAGTACCGAGTGAACAAAGAAAAGCATGCTTTCCGGATTGATTAGCGGAAAAAAATCATTGACGAGTACATATTCACATTCACTGAGTGAACTATGCCATTATGACTTTCACTTGTTATCATAAATAATGTCATACCATAAGACATTAAGAGTGCAAATGTTCGAAAAACTCACCAATGTCAGATTTTGTCAGGTGTCACATACAATAAATAGCTTGATCAATATGAGGCGGGATTTGCTTTATCTCGGTGCCAAGCTCCTGCTCAATCCTGTACCTGCGAAATGGAAGGAAAGAGAAAAAAATGAAGAATGAAAACTAAAAGGAACAATATAATGTGAACAATAATACGAGTAAATGTCACAGAAAACAGAAAAGACTGATTAGCTAAAGCAAATGAATAAGAACAACATACAAGTTGAAGCGATCTTCATATGTAATTAAATTCACAGCCAATCCAAGATGTCCAAACCTTCCCGAGCGACCCACCTATACAAGTAGATTCATAACCATGATAAACAGAAAGTTGTCCAGTTTTTTAGAAAGACATTTTTGATTAATCCTTTTTTAGATAAATATCACTACATCTACGTACCCTATGGAGATAGGTTTCTGAGTTCTTAGGGAAGTCAAAGTTTATGACAACATTGACAGCTTGGATGTCTATTCCCCTTGTGAATAGATCTGCACATCATGTTAAAACTAGTGACTTAGAGACAACTGTGGAGAATAATTCATGAGTTTGCTTTCAGAGGCTTCAATTAAACGAATTGGTCATTTGACCTGTTAATGGAATTCACTAATAAACATTGATGATTTTTACCAGTGCAAACAAGATTCCGGCAAGCACCATTCCTGAAATCATGGAATACTCTGTTACGATGATCTTGTAGCATCTTGGCATGAATATAGAAGCAAGAATAACCTAGCTCCGTGATTTTCTTGGCAAGCAGCTCCACTCGGTTTACAGAATTGCAGAAGATTATTGACTGGTTAATTTGTAACTGTAAAGAAAGCACCGATGTAATTTTTCCACCAAAAAAAAGGAAGACAATGTGAGATTTTTTTTTTTTTTAAAAAAAAAGGTATAGATCGAACCTTGGAGAAGAGCGTATTGAGGCAGTGAACTTTCTGTCTTTCTTCCACAAAAGCATAATACTGGGTTATACCTTTGAGTGTGAGCTCATCCATTAAATTGATGACGTAGGGTTTCCGCAAGTATTTATCTTTAAAATCTTTTACAGTAACTGGGAATGTAGCTGAATACATCAAAATTTGCCGAGTTGGAGGAAGAAAGGAGATCAGCTGCTCTATTGAAGGTTGAAATTCTGGAGATAGCAGCTTATCAGCCTGATACAAAGACTCAAGTGAACTTAGAAGCCACCAGATTTTCAATGTCACTAATAATCAGAAAAGATGATACAAATTTCAAGTTTCAATCAAAACCAGAAAAAGCAGTGGCCGAAAGACAATCTTTTTTAGCATGCTTCCGTTAAAGTAACTCCCAAGTTCAAAGCTTATAACGACCAATACAAAGTTAGACACATCCATCGAAAAAATGTTACATTACTGATCCATATACCTCATCCATAACAAGCACTGAACAATCCTTCAAAATGCATATCCCTTTTCTGGTGAGATCGAGTATTCTTCCAGGAGTTCCAACCAACAAATGCACAGGTTGATACAATCTCATTATATCATCCTTCAGACTGGTTCCTCCGGTGCTAACCATCACTTGAATTTTCAAGTGTTTTCCTAGTTCCTTACATACTTGGGATGTCTGAAGTGCTAATTCTCTTGTCGGAACTAATATAACAACTGCATTTGTCATTAGCGTGCATATTTAGTTGTAGAACATGAAGGAGCAGCGAAGTGCACCAGAAAGAAATAATTTGATAATACGAGAAAAATGCAGAAGTGGACACAAAGTCTAGTAAAATCACAAACTAAAATTCAAATCAACTTTTTATTTAAAGTATCGTGTGAAAATAAAGAGAGGCCCACTTAACCAACATCAGAAGTTAGTTACAAGATGATATGTGAAAATATACGAAGTAGACAAAAAAATTGAAACTAAAATCCACATCATCAAATAAGGACATAGCCAATGAAAATTAAAAATAATATGGACAGTAAGTAGAACACGACAAACTTATGTGAATTAACAATATTCTGATGCATAACTGCATCAACTCTCACAAGGCCCTCCTAATGGACAACAACATTTCTCCAATAATAAATGAAGAGGTCATATCATGCTTCAATTCTATTTTATTCCCTTTCACAGTTTCACTCACCAAATGGTTGAATCAACCATATCCTTGAATTTACATACCACGGTAGTTCTTTCTCGTGTATGAGCGTGTATATGTGAAGAAAATAATATTGCTCGATCAAATTGTAACGACATGCATTCTTCAAATTCATTTAACACAAGGTGAAAAGGTGGTCAGCATTGACGAAATAAAGGTAAGTCTGTCCTAAGAACAATGAACAAAATATGTATTCACTGAATGCAACTTCATATGATGATGTTTACCTTCATATTGGTCATACACTAATAGATGAATATATACCTTGAATAACATTATTATCCGAATCAATCTTTTCAAGGGCAGGAATGCAAAATGCAGCAGTCTTTCCGGTACCATTTTTAGCTCTAGCAAGAATATCACTACCAGTGAGAGCAATAGGAATGCTTTCTTCTTGGATAGGAGAAGGCCTTTCAAACCCTTTTTCATATATCCCCATGAGTAGATCACGTTTCAGGAAGTAATCTTCAAACTCATTTCCTTTTGTTGCAGTAACATCCTGCATGAAGAAAGCACATCCAGCATTGACAAAAATAAGATGAGCACTCAGTTCCTCAGAAAGTTTGGTTCAGCAATAATACTTCCCATGTGAGCCACAAAAGCAAAAAAGAAAAAAAAAATAAAAAATGGTAGAAGCAGGATATAGATCATATACAAGTAAAGCAAAAAATCTATTATCCTAATTCGAAACATTTAAGTGAAAATATTTGAACAGTTAACAAACGGAGAATAGACTTCTTTTCATCTGCCGCGTGGGTTAAATATTCAGGTATACTACCAGAAACAAGATGTACAAATGTGCATAGCCAAGTGTCATATTAGGGCATACGGCATGTATCTGACAGGTACATGTACATGTGGTTGGACTCCGGTCAAAACATAGTGAAAAGGATAAAAAAAAACAGAGTTGATAGGAGCATAGTGCGTCAGTTAGTCTTAAAATGAAGCAGGAAAAGCAGAATATATGGAACACAATTTTGATTTTTCAGTGAAACTGCAATTCTACTAACAAAGTACAATCAGGCAGTAGTTGGGAAACCGATGGCCACAGCCTGTCGAGGGAAACGAAAGAGAAGAAACAAATTTTCTTATATCTAATCCACAGGGTGATAGAAAAACAATGCATTACTGCTAATATAACTTTTCTTAACAAGCACAAAGTCTTGTTCATGAACATGTGCAAATAGTAAGACTGGAAGTATCTTGTGGTTAATGCATCACTGAGATGGTTACTCAACCTTAAGAATAGAGAGTGGACGGAAAGAAAAGTGATTATTGTCTCATAGACATGACATATTGTAGTCAATTTAGTATCAGGTCACAACTACCATTCCAAAGATTAGCCCCATTTCTTTTGGTTTCATGTATTTGAAACTACCCCAGAATCAAATTCTTTATTGATTTGGTCATTAATCAAAGCAAGTTTACATTTTTTTATCTGCTGTATTTACAAACTTATGATAGTCACAAATTTCACAGATCAAGGCGATACAGGAGCTCAAAGAGAACATTTCTGACATCCATCAAGTGTTCCACATTACAGCAACTTCGGTTAACTTAGTAAGCAAACTTCCAATGTAAAATGCAAGTCCAATACCAGTAAAACAGCTAAAACTCACACACTTAGCATTAGAAAAATAAGTTTAGTAAGAATATAAACAATTTATCCTACCTCCGTCTTATATCGCGTGTCAGGAGGCGGTACTGCTAAACGAGCCTTCCAATCTTGAGAGCTGATAATCCCACGAAACAACCGAAAAACAAACAAATGCAAGTAGTCAATTCCAGAGCGAAAAACACATTTGCAGAAGATAAACACATCCTACGAACAGCATTGACCAAATCTCAAGTTATACGTAACTATCTAGCAAATAAATCAAATCAAACCATCCTACAGAAACGATATGCCCAATAATTACTTAATCTAAATGGAAAACCAACACCATATCAAAGAAAGCTAATGAATGAATACATAAGTTAAATAAACACAAGCCATAGCGAGAAAATGTACGTAGAACCGGTTGAATCGGGCTGCACGGTTTTTTCAACTTCGTTCGAAGAGTCCGACACAGCTGCGGTGTTAGGGTTTCGCCTCATCCACTGCTGCGGTTGATTCTGTGCGGTTGTCCGCTGCGGGTACGGCGGCTGCGGTTGCGGGTATTGCGGGTTCCGGTTCGGGTAATTCTGGTTCGCGTTCCCAACTCCAATTCCATTTCCGCCGCCGCGACCGTTGCCGATCCCCGGTGGATACCGTCCTCGCGGGTAATTATTATTCATCACAAGAGCAGAATCTTTCTGCAAATCTGATGAAAAATACAACGGAAAATTTTCTGAATCTTTATGAAATTGTGAAATTGAGAAGAAAAATCTTGATTGATTTTCTGCCTTTTTCTTTCCTGAGAATGGCTGTGTGCGTGTGAAGAGTGAGAACGTGTAGTCCAATGAGAGTTTTGAGTTAAAAGTTTTTTCGGGGTTAAAGTGGACACACAGTTAAAATTAGGGGCTTAGTTGAAAGACTTGAAATTAATAGGCAGGTAAAAGCATGTTTTAAATACTGTACTGGTTGCTATACCGGTTTAGCCACCGATACGCGGTATTATCGGTCGAACCGGTAATACCACCGTTAATATCGGTGATATTACCATACTAACAAATATAATGATATGTATATGTATATATATATTTATATATATAAATGTAAAATGTCAAATGCAAAAAAGTAAAAAATAAAAATAAATGACAATAATCACAAAATTTAACTTACCGACGAGATAAAAATAAAACATGCTAACTAACAATTTAGATTTTATATTTTTAAATTAGTAAATTTTATATTTTTATTTTTTTTATGACCGGTATTTTGGACCGGTTTTTTCGATAGTTACGGTATGACCCTGTACAAACCAGTATAATTGTAAATCCGATATTCTGTGTGTAATTGTACCGTACTAATGACAGGTATTTGGTATTAGTGGTCGGTACGATACGATATTGAAAACATTGGCTAAAAGTCTTTCGAGTAGTTTGGATCGGTCCGAAAAAAGAAAAAAAAAAATGCAACATATAATACAAAATCTATGATACATACAGTCCAAAACTAAAATCTATTAGTAAAATTTTTACTTAAATTATTAGTAAAATTTTCACTTAAAATTTTTAAAGTTACTATTCTTATTTATTTTTAAATGATGAATTGAAATTTCAAAAAAAAAAAAGTTATTTGTAAAAGATATTAGGGTAAATTGCAGTTTTGATACACAAACTAAAGTTCATTTCAGAATCAGTACCCATTTTTTAACATTTGCAAAGTCAGTACCCATACTTTCATTCAGTTAGCAACTTTAGTACCCGGCCGTTAGATGCCCATCAAACTGCCGTTAGTTTTAACAGAAGTGGTCAAAATAGAGGGATTTTGTCTGTCTTTTCTTTTTTTTTGCATCTGATGAAACTTATATATATAAGGCATATGTACCATTTATTTTCAACAATAAAGCGCTCCTTCGGCTGTTTATAAGAAAAGCGGGTAAATTTCATTTTTTATACCCAAAGTAATGACCATTTTAAAAGTAGTACCCACACTTTCATTTTGTTAGCAACGTTAGTACCCAACCGTTAACAACTAACGGGATTTTGACGGACATCTAACGGCAAGGTACTAACGTTACTAAAGGAGTAAAAGTTTAGGTATTGATTTTACAAATGTTAAAAAATGGGTACTGATTCCGAAATGAATTTTAATTTGGGTATAAAACTGCAATTTACCCAAGATATTATGTAACCTTAATTCCTACAAAAAAAAAAATAAAAAAACTTTAATTCTTAAAAGTATGGTCAATGATTTCCTTAAGTGCCTCTAGCCAATAATGAGAAATAATCTTGAAATCTTACTTAAAAAATCCGACCAAGCGTGTAAATTTGGTTACAAATATCTAATCAATCATTTAATGTTTGAAAATTTTTGAAATCATTCCGAAAAAGTCAGACATTTTTTTTTTTTTTCCAAAATGTCAACATAATAATTAAATATTTTTTTATCCACATTTATCTACTTACAAATCTCTTAAAATAACATTTGTATTTATTTAATAAAGAATGTTAATTTTGCAAAATAGTTTTTATATTTCGAATTGTTCAACTTAGTTGATGATTTTTTTGTCTATGTTTATCTACTACAAGATCTTTTAAAGTTTAAAAATAATCTCATATTATGTGGACTCTTGGCACCTATTTTTTTGTACACATCTATTTTTCATCTCATATCCAAATATAAATATTAATGTGAATCTTAAATATCTAATATTTATTAAATATATATATATATATATATATATTTTATAAAAGCATGACGTTTCATAAAATTAATTTTATCATATATCATGTGTTTGGTTATTGGTTTCGTTGGAGACACTCATTATTTTCAAATAATAATATAAATTTTTTTATTTTTTATATTTTTTTCTTGCAATAATGAGATGTTAAATATAAATAATACGTTTAACGCAGTGGCTCGTACCTTCGCTCGGCGTGTACCATGTCCAGAGTTCGAGTCACCCGAATTGGGGAACCAGTATTGATCCCCGTTTTAAGAAAAAAAATATAAATAATAGCCTTTGTTAATAAATGTTCATGTTCATGTTCAAGTCTAAGTTATTCAGCTAGTTAAATTCCAAGTTCGACGTTAAGTCGAAAGTATATCCGGTTAACTTTATTTATTAATCGAGTCAATGATAGTAATTAATCTCAGTCCATTTATTTAATAAATGGACATCAGCAAGTTGGGATTAATTATTCCTATGTTGACGTATTAATTGAATTAAAAATAGTCAATTAATCATCAAAGTTGAATTTAAGCCAGTTATTGAGTTTCAGTTTTAAGTTCGACTTTTAGTCGATTTAATATTCAGTTTAATTAATTTAATAACCGAATAAGTTTTCAGATTTAATTCCAATACGTTTATTTAATAAATAAGTTCGGAATTAATAAGTTCAAGTCGACAAATTGTTCGAAATCAAGATATTCGGATTAATCGTCGAAGTTAAGTTTCGACCGAAATTATTTAAGTTAGGTTAAAGTCCAAGTTTAAATTCATAATTATACTTAGAATATTTTCTAAGTAGTAATCGGTCATGATTAGCTCATAAGTGAATCCATGATTAAATTGTTCATTAGCTTAACATAATGCACGCTTAAGTCATGCTTAAGTCATGTTATTACTCAGGCAGGTATTGAGGTTGATCCATCCAAAGTTGTCGCTGTTCAGAATTGGTCGACACCAAAGAATCCATTCGAAGTTCGCAGTTATCTCGGTCTAGCAGGCTATTATCGCAGGTTTATCGAGGGTTTATCCAAGATTGCCCTCCCTTTGTCTCAGCTGACGAGGAAGTCTGTGAAGTTTGAGTGGAGTTAAATATTTTGCCACACTACGATTTCCGCTAACGTTTAAAATAAAATTTAATAAAAATAGTAATAAGCCCATTTGTGTATCGCACGGGATGCGCACTAGTGTAAAATAAAGAACCAAGGCATAAAGATAAAAAAAGTTTGAAACCGATTAATGCACATAAAATTAAATGTATATAAAATTGTATATACATTTGGTTATTCAATTAATAGGTATACATTAAGAGGGAACTGGAACAGGTCAGTACAAAAAATAATTGAGATGAAAAAAAATATTTGTTTTAAATAACTGATAGAACCGGTTGAATTTATTTCTTAATACTCATTGGTTCATATTTATTGATCTTATTATATGTGGTTTTTTACAAAGTATATCTTTTTTTTTTTTTTTTTGGTACAAGAAGGAGGTAAAGCCCAACAAAGGTCGAAACTACAAGACTACGCTACGAGCCCGCTAAATCATGCTCAAACCAAACTTTAAACCCAGTCGATGGATTATACAGCTTAAAGTAACCAGACGAACCTTACCAAGTACATCTTTAAACACACACTAAGATGTTCTCACACAACACAACCACATATAGCCATATTTTACTAAAAACAAATAGAACATTTAAAAATGTTGCAAGTATAAAAATGCAAACAACTCACTATGGTTTATAATAATGTGAATCAATATGTTCACTAATTTTTATACATGAAAACAATATAATGCTTGAGTCCGCCTTTTTTTTTTTTTTTGGTACAAAGAAAGAGGCCAAAAGCCTAGTTTAGGACTTGTCGGGGATGAGCGACACCCATGTTATCATGTGCTAGCCAAGTACCTAGTCCCGGTGGAGGAGAGGTTAACGTGTGAAGACCCATCGGGTATGAAGCCGCAATGCGGGCCACAGAGTCTGCCGCTAAATTCGCTTCTCGATGCACATGGGTGAGACGAACCACCCAGTCTCTGTTTAGAAGCTCATGAATGGCTCTTACTAACTCAGACGCGCAACATTTAGACTGTCAACTTCCACATCAACTTGCCGGAACCCTCGATTCCATGCCAAAGTAAGGCCTTGTACCAATCCCCAAAGCTCAGCACTCAAGACCGTGCCCGTCCCAATATTCATAATAAATCCTACGATCCAACATCCTTCGTCATTGCGAATGAGGCCCCCGGCACTGCTTAGGCCCGTAGTTCTATTAACCGACCCGTCCGTATTAACTTTCACCCTTCCCGCCACCGGGGGAGACCACCTCACCATGCGATTTGCGTACACCTGGGCCCCGACTCTCCGGTAGTCCGCTGTCACCCGGAGGTAGTTCTCGGCATCACTCATCACCGTATCATACATCACTGCCACACTAGGACGGGTATTCAAAAACACGCGGTCGTTTCGCCACTTCCATAAACGCCATAAAACCGCCGCGAACAAGCTGCCCCAATTTTTGACATTCCCCAGCTTTGTCGACAGCAGGTTCCAGTGTATCCAAGGGATGAGCGCCGCCGCAAAAAATGTAGAGAAGAGTGCCGGCGGCACAAGGCATCGCCACAGCTGCTGAGCTTGCGGGCAGTCACGCAGAACATGGGTGATCGTCTCCTCCTCGCTGCAAAGCTCACAGGCCCCCGACGCCGCTAAGTGGCGCCGTACTCGCTCGGAATTTGTCAACAGCCGTTGTTTCACTACTAGCCATAAAAATGTGCGAGCCCGCTGGGAAGCTTGAGCTCGCCAAATTAGACGCTACATTTGGGGCTCCAACTCTTGTTCGCCTGGGGAAATCGCGTGAGAAGCCGATTTGGTCGTATACCGGCCATTCTCGGCAGCACCCCAGAGAATCCGATCTTCGCCCGCTCTCGGACTTGGGGGCAGCGTTTCAGCAAGCCGTACTATTA